AATTGGCCTAAGCCCAATTGCATCAAAGGGCTGCGAGGTTTTTTGGGATTAACGGGTTATTACCGCAAGTTCATTCAGAACTATGCAGTAATCAGTAAACCATTAACCATGTTACTAAAGAAAGGGGGTTTTGTGTGGAATGTGGGAGCAACACATGCGTTTGAGGCTTTGAAGTTAGCTATGACCCAAGCACCAATATTAGCATTACCCGACTTTAAGTTACCATTTGTGGTCGAAGTAGATGCTACTGATCTGGGAGTAAGAGTTGTTCTGTCTCAAAACAACAAACCAATTGCTTTCATGAGTCAGGCTTTGTGTCAAAAACACCTGGGATTTTCAACATATGAGAAGGAATTAATTGCCCTTCTTTTAACAATTGAAAAATGGAAACATTACCTTCAACCCAGTCACTTTATCATCCGGACTGACCATTTTAGTTTAAAATTCCTCAAAGATCAACGCATCACTACGTCATTACAACACAAAGGAGTGAAAAAATTGATGGGCCTAAGCTATGAAATATACTACAGGCAAGGGAAAGAGAATTTAGTAGCAGATGCGTTGTCTCGAAGGGAAGAGGAAACCAAATGGGTTAACCAAGAAGCAGAAGCTTTGTGTTTGGGCCTAAGTGTGATTCAACCCAATGGGTACAAGAAGTGATAGAAAGCTATGAAGGTGATCAAGAGGCTCAAGAACTAATCACAAAGCTCAGCTTAGACTCCAAGGCAGTACAAGATGTGTCACTACAGTTATGACGGCTAAGGTTCCAAAGAAATTATGGGTGGGAAAACAGTTAGGCCTCAGGGCAAAATTGATTCATGATATGCATTCAACCTCATGGGGAGGGCACTATGGAATTCATGCCACATATCAAAGACCTAAGGCACTTTTTTACTGGCCAAAGATGATTAAAGATGTGAAAATGATGGTACAGGAATGTGAAGTCTGCCAAAGGAACAAAGATGAGAGTGTAGCCTACCCTAGATTGCTACACTCTTTACCTATTCCGGAAAGAGCTTGGGAACATATTTCCATGGATTTCATTGAGGGATTACATAAATCACAAGGAAAGGAAGTCATTCTAGTGGTGATTGATAGGTTTATAAAATATGTGCATTTCATTGCATTAGCTCATCCGTATAATGCTACTCAAGTTGCTCAATTATTCCTTGACCATGTTTGCAAATTACATGGAGTTTCGTCCTCAATTGTTTCTGATAGAGACCCAATTTTTGTGAGCCTATTTTGGCAAGAACTTTTCAAAAACCTACAGGTTCAGTTGAAATTGAGCTCGGCATATCATCCCCAAACCGACGGTCAGACAGAAAGGTTGAATCGATGTTTGGAGTCTTACCTCCGATGCATGACTGGGCAAAGGCCTAAGGAATGGGGCAAATGGTTATCTCTTGCAGAATTTTGGTACAACACGAGTAATAGAGTCCGCAATCAATATGACTCCTTTCAAGGCTCTATACAGGTATGATCCACCCCAGCCAACCTTCGAGCTGATTGCACAATCCAAGGTTGAATCCGTGGATCAATTGTTGAAAGAAAGGCAGATAATAAGCAAACAACTGAAGGAAAATCTAATTAAGGCTCAGGAACGAATGAAGCAATACGCTGATAGCAAAAGAAGTGAGCGCACCTTTGAAGTAAGCGATTTAGTCTTCATCAAATTACAGCCTTATCGCCAATCTTCAGTGGCTGTGAGAAAGAACCTAAAGTTGTCCTCCAAGTTTTTTTGTCCCTATCCGATTATCAAAAAGATTAGTTCTGTGGCGTATGAGCTCCAATTACCTGTCGAGTCTCGAATCCACCCAGTTTTTCATGTTTTTCAACTGAAGAAGAAATTGGGTCCAAAAGATTTTTCCATAAAGGAACAACCTTTGAGCACACCTGAAGGCCAGTTAATGGCAGAACCAGTGGCTATACTTAACTGGAGAATGGTGAAGAGGAACAATCAAGTTGTTACACAAATCTTGGTGCAATGGGCCAATCTGGCTCCAGAGGATGCAACTTGGGAGGATTATTCATTTATCACTTCCCAATTCCCTGAATTTCAACCTTGAAGATCAAGGTTCTTGAAGGAAGGTGGGATGTTGTGGAACGGGATAGTTCAGAAAATGAAATTGGAAAACTTGGTTACTGATTGGAAAAGATGCTAATTGCAAAATATTCTAGTATATTAGCACTTAAGTCCCTTAAGTTTTATTTGTTTAGAGTTTTATCCTAATAGTGTAGCTTTCATCTTTAAAAGACATGTGTCCATTCTTATCCCTTTGTATCCGTTAGCATATTACCACCTCTATTCATTTCTCATTGGTTATCCAGGTGGTCACAGCTGTAGGACTCTTACCTTATTTATCCCAGCAGCATCCTTGTAAAGATCCATTGAAGAATGAAAAATCTTATTTAATCTTTTTACTTAAATTCTGCAAATTTTCCTTTTCTGTTCTTTCTTAGCTAAATCACTACAAGTTCATGCAGATTTAGATCTGGCTCGCCTAAGCCTCAAATTCTATTTGTCTTCCCTTTTTTGTTCAATACTTAATGCTGAATATGCTTACATTAATTGTTCAAGTTATTTATTAGAATTGAAGGAATTGAAACTCTATTTGATATTTAGGAATTTATGAGATTTGATTGCAATTCGTTTGAACTCATGTGGCTGTTTGTTGTTAGAGGATATGTCTCACAGATTTAAATTTCATTCAAGTCGTTTGAACCACTCAGTTTAGTCCCTGTGGTACTGTATAAGTTGCTGAATTTCTGGATTTTTATCTTATAATGACATGATAATGTAGACCTAATCATTTGCAATATGTATAGCTTGTATTCGTGATGTGAATTACTCGAGCAATTATATAGGTTCTTTGTTTCATGTTAAGAACAATTGAAAGAAGTAACCTCCGTCGATGGCTGATAGTGTACTGTTTTCTGCGAAATTGAGTTTGAGTTAGCGAACTAGCCATATAATCGTTTATTCGTATGTTGATATTTAGAACTTTATGTGACTGTTGCTGATTTTGTATTTGATGCTGAAGTGCAAAAAAATAAATTAAAGAGAGGTGTTAACAGAGTTATTGGGCTTCTGTCTTCAGAAATATTTAAGCCCCGCTTGCCTAGAAGGGATTTGTGTGGAGCTCAGTTTCTTTCATTAAGTTAGGTCGTTTTTTGCATTGTGAATCTGACTTTCAAATGAACTCCAATGCAGCAAAGGTCCAAAGAATTAGAATCAATTAATACTTGTACACTTATTCACAAGTGATTTCCGTAATTCGTAGCCCCCACAACAAAATCTCAAATTAGTTTAGGACTAAACAATTTTGAAACACCGTAGCTTGCTTTAGGCGCGATTAATAATAAAACATTGTGACTATGGGTACGGTTCCTGTGGCATAGTATGATACATGATCCCCAATTTGAGTGCATGTTTCACGCGTCCCGACCATAACTTCAAATAACAATAAACATGTTGTAAATCGCGTGTGCGTTTCACGTGGCGTGGTTTGCAATGTGTACCAAAATGACAAGTGTACGACATCGTAACTTGTTCAAGAAATAACTCCATCAATGCTAAAAAGCAGTTAAATATTTAATTAAAAGCGGTAAAAGATAAAAGGCACAATAGGTTTTAAACATGTATTAAGTCAGATAATTTAGCCAAGGATTAATTGTTAAGTGACCATGCTAAAACCACGGAACTCGGGAGTGCCTCACACCTTCTCCCAGGTTAACAGAATTCCTTACCAGGTCTTCTATGTTCGCGGACCATAAATAGAGTCAATTTCCTCGATTTGGGATTTTAAAATAAATCGGTGACTTGGGACACCATAATAATTATCTCTAGTAGCGACTCTAAATTAAATAAATAATCTCATTTCGATTAATGTCACTTAAATTGGAAAAACTCCTTAGTCTTCAGAAAAAGGAGGTGTGACACATGCATTAATTTTTTTAGAAAGAAAGTAAACAAGATTTAAAATTTACCCACAACTTGATTCTAAAGTAATATTCCAAATTTCGTATGCAGTGTATCAATAAGAAAGAGAGATTTTGGGTGAGTAGTAAGAAAGAGGAAATGAAAAGCTTTGGAAAAAGAAAAGAATCAATAGTTTTGGGGGGACAACAATGGGTATAAAAATTAAGAGAGCTTTGGGTGATTATCAAGAGAGAAAATATTTTCGAAATCCTTTGGAAAAGGAACAAAATCTTAAATAGCGGTTATTGGAAATGGGGTGGGTATCATGTAACTGATAGGCTAAATTTAAGGGATCTTGAATTTTCTTCTTTTTTATGGTTTTGTATATAACTTGTAAATATAAATATACAAAGTAACTAATAAGGAACCTAAATAAAGGAGGTAAATAGATTTCTATTATAGTATAGCTAGGTAAAAATCTCATCAGCTTGCCTTTGGTTCTTTTACTCTCTTTTAATCAGAAGCGGATTAACATTTTTCGTTTTGGTTCTTTAAGTTTGTAAAAAGTGAACATTTTCTTATTCATGTCATATATTTAACAAAACTTTGACTGTTAAATTAGCATGAACTTGAAAAAAAAGATTTAGCAGGGAATCACATTATGAGGTGCAATTTCTGCATTCTGTTACCCTTGTCCATTTCTGATGTTTGTGCAGTTTTTTGAGGTGCAATTTCTGCTATTTTTGATCTATTTTAGTATTTGGTGCCATTTTTTATGGCAATATGAGATTTGAAAAGAATTTTCTGCTGCTTTTGGTTAAAAAATTTTCCCCCACAATTCCCCTTGAATAAACTATCCAAAATTTGTTAAGTATTGAAGGATAACCAAAAGTGCTCAATTTTGATAACTTAAGGATCAAAACTGCTCAAATTACACCTAAAGGACTACTTTAAAATTACCCCCAAACATAAGAGACTATTTTTGTTATTTTCTCCCTCTTATACATTTGATAATTTTCATGGAAAAAAATAGGTTAAGACGGTGCCGTTTCAGGTTCTACTATCTTTGCACACTGGTGTGAGGGTTTTGAACATAAACCTCAAACACCAGCCGGGTGAGGAAAAAGTTTGCTGCATCTGAATGCACTTACAAATAAAAGCTTAATCCACAGGAAGTCACAAAAATGGCGTGGAGGCAAATTCTATTTTTCAACAGAAGATTAATCTCAGCACCTTCAAACTCGTCGGTGCCAACTGGGTTCGCTAGCTTTTCGTCCAAATCCAATCCTTACATAGGTATTTCAGTTTCATCCTTGAGAATTTAATATAGCTGTAATCTTTGTGAAAATTTAACACAAACTATCGTGGGTGCAGTAAAGGTAGGGATACCAGAGTTCTTGAATGGAGTGGGAAAGGGAGTAGAGACCCACGTTGAGAAGCTAGAGTCTGAGATTGGAGATTTCTCGAAGCTTCTTCTTACTCGCACCCTTAAGCTCAAGAAACTTGGCATCCCTTGTAAACATGTCAGTATTTATCCCCTTTCCTTTTAATTTGTTTCATTTGTCCAATGCTTTTTAGTAAATATGTTATTGTTTTTACAAATGTGAGATGGAAGATTGTGTTATTGGGTAGCTCGGATATTATGTTTCATTGCACTAAAAAAGGAAATTGTTTTCCAGCTTTAAAGTAATTCTTCAGAACTAAAGGGCTTTGATCTGTATAGTTGATTCCTCTGTCAGGCTGATAGAATGCATTCTTGCAAAAGATTTTAATTTTCTGTAGTTCATTAATTGTTGTTAGTTGTCTAGTTGCACTGTCCTGGAAAAATCGCACTAGATGCAATAAATAGTAGTGGAAAGAATCATGGATTAAGGCTATGAGAGAGTTAATAGTGGAGTATTTTGTTTTTCAGTTCGTTTTAGGTATTTGATATTTCAAGTTGTATGATTGTTAAAGTTATTCTAATAGTTAAGCTTGTGGTTGAGATGATATTCCTTTTTTTTTTTTTTTAAATGAAGTTATTAATTTTATTATCGAGAAGGGAAAATCCCATAAATGAAAATGTATATAAAACGCGGAGAATCTTACTAGAAGGCATGATCCTATACAGTCGTCAATACTAATCGGAATATCAAAGGTGCTCCAGATATATATAAAAAAACAAAATGCTCCACCGACCAATAGGAGCAAGTTTTCTAGCCTTTCCAACGCTCGCATATTTCTGTCTTTCCTATTGTCCACTTGAACGCTAGAAGAGCTACTTCTCATGTGCCTCCATCTCTTCCTGCTGAATTACAGACTAACCTAGAAGCACCTTTCTCAGTTACTGGAATCATCGATACCACCTCCCGATATGCTCCACACAATATACCATAATCTGTATGAAATAGGACAGTGAAGTAATAAGTGATTGTTATGGTTCCCTCCTGCTTTCACGTGACGCACCAACAAACTTGGATTGTCCTCCTCCCGTAAAGTTTTCCGCTGTTAAGATGGCTTCACGTGCTCTTGTCCAGGTAAAAAAGGAAGCTTTAGTTGGCACTCTAGGGATCCATATTGAGGAGTAAATTCCTTGCACTCCCTTTTCAACAATCTGTGATGTTATCCTTCTGCCCTCTCCATATCCACCTGTCTATGTCCATTTGCTTTGATATGATATCCAATTCGATACCATCTTTGCTATGAGATTATGTAGAAGTGTCATAATATGTCTTGGCTTTGAAGTTTTACTTCAACAGTGTCAATAGCCCTACATGTTTTTGCAAGTCCGCTGAAATGGATATCCTGCAGTATTTTGCATCAACAATATAGGGTTGAGAGTCTTTGGAAGATGTAGGTTAATTAGATCAGTTACTTTTGTTTTTTGCGGTTATCTCCCTAAGCAGATTAAGTCTTTTGTTGTAATGGAGCTTATTCAATTCCTTCTTGTAACTTTGCATCTGGATGCCTGCAATGAAGAATCTTATTTCATTAAAAAAGGTTAATTAGATCAGTTGGTTGAAAGATCGTGATCAAGATGTAACTTTTGAGACTAGACATCTTTCCGACAAAGTTGTTCTTGACAAGTTTATAAGTATGACCACCGTTAGGAGCCAATTTAGTTCTCTGATATGCATTTAAGCAGTAAGAGATCCAAATTTGGTTCTTAAATTTTTGCATTCAAATGCTATTCAACATAATTTTTTATATATGCTTTAATGACGTCCATCTGATTTAGTGGTTAGTTGAGCTCTCCATTTGAATAATGTCTCGTAGCTGTATCTGTAAAACAACTTTTTTTTATGTAGTTGACTGTCCATCATAGCTGAGGATTGACCGTTACTGTCGAAGAGCATAATTTGCGATAGTGGTGTGTTTGAACATGTATTATAAAATGATGTAATATGTCTGAAATTGATGTCTTGTGCAAGTTATCCTATTGAGATGATTGATTAGTTTGTTACTTGTGTTAGTTCGGTATGTCTGGAAGTTTACCCTCCAAACTGCGAAGTTGTAAGAAATTTTGCTCTGTTACATTATGCGCAGTTTGCTTGCTTTCTGTACTTTAGAGGTTTGTAGGGTAGTCTTGGATTCAGGGTTCTGGCAAGGACAGCTGAAATGGGATGCCAAATATTAGAAGCTGCGTGAAATTAGGTGGAGTTGCACTGTAAAATAGGGTGGGGAAAGAGAAGTATGGGTTTGTCTGTTTTTTATTCATCTTTGGATATTCCAAAACACTTTTATCAAGAAAATTGTAAAAAGCATGGTTATCAAAAAGGAGAAGGGATTGCATGTGTTCACGTTTGGACTGCCCAACCACTGGAAGAATTAGTGAAGATTAACTTTTGGTTGTAATTGTCATGCATGAATATGAAGGTGGAGCGAATGATATCAATTTTGCCGATCATATCAAGTCTGCTATTTAGTGGTGGCCAAACTTAAGGCTTTCTAGTCTTAGTAGAGTAATCTTTTCTTATGAGGTTCGACAGTTAACAGTTCCTAAGTTCTTGCCAATTTGATAACCCTGAGAAACTGAGCGAACTAATGCTTAGAACTAGTTCCTGTAGGCACTTTCTAAGATTTGGAGATAAGCATACCATAGCGGTAGCTTTTATACAATAAGTAGCATGCCATATTGGTATGCTGCATTGATTAATCATGGCACTGTGTTTTAAACGACAGCCATCAATCCCTTCTGCTGTGTTTTCGCATCCACGAGCCCTTCTTGACATATTGCTTGTGATGTTGCAGAGGAAGCTGATATTGAAGTACACCCACAAATATAGGCTGGGACTTTGGAGGCCCAGAGCTGAGCCTGTGAAAGCCTAATAAATCATTTGGTTTTGGTCCTTTTAGTGAAGAAAAACATTCTGCTCTTATGTTCATGTTTTGAACTTCTTGGATGGAAATTGGTCACAAGGCAGCCAACTGCATCAGGGGGCCCATGTTAGGGACTGTTTTTGATCAGTGAAGTGAGAATTTGGGATTTGCATTATAAACATACACTAATAACAAATGCCCTCTTTATTTTACTTCTATCAAGACTTGTTAATTAACTATTGCATTCGTCCCCTATCATCATGTTTGCTTTTCACATAATTCAAGAAAACTGGAACATTTTATTCTTTAGCACTGTTCTTTTACAAGTAATCAGTATCAGACATTCATGTTTTATATGTAAGGTCGATATGTGAGGGGGTACCTTTAGAATAGAAGTAGTCATATTTAAAAAAGGGCAAAATACATAGTTTACCCATCGATCGTGCAACAAGTTAACGGAATTTCTTTTACGCACTGAACCTTTCAAAAGTGTGTCTATACATACCACTTTTATACTTGATCAATTTTTCAGATAACGTAAAAGTCACGCCCTAATAGGGGCATAACACGGGTCATTGACTTTAAAAAGGGTAAAGAAACATTAGAAATTACAATTAAACATCTTCATCTTCCCATTTTCTATCTTAAGCATCATTGTTGCTGCCACCATGGTTGTTTGTGAGAAAGTTTTCAACAACACAAAAATTCAAGTGTTCAACCACATTTTCTAAACAACAAGCCGAAAAAATGGTTGTTTGTGAGAAAGTTTTTGACAACACTAAAATTCAACCACACTATCTCTAAACAAGCCGAAAAAAATTGATCAACAAATTGAGTTCAACAACCCAATAATTAACAAGACCCAATTGAATTTTCAAGCTTTTTCAATACCCCAACAATGGTGAATTCTAGATTTTTTTTCACCAAACCTTCAATACTACCATTAAAGCTTTTAAATCTATCACAAATAAATGGTTCCACAATATTTGGATAATAAACCAACAAAAGTCTCTCAATTTCAAATGTTCTTTCAATAATTCTATGTGGGGAAAAAGATGAGGGGGAGGGTGGTCTGAGGAAGAAGACCAGGGGGAGGGGGAGGGGAGACAAAATATGAGATTTTCTTCAGGATTCACGCGCATTTTTTGATTGTAAACACGCGAGTGCTACTTGGACAAAGTAGTGCGTCTTAGACACACTTTTGAAAGGTTGAATGTGTAAAAAAATTTCCGTAAATGAGAGATATATAACGGGGATTTCGCTGCAAGATTAATGGGTAAATTATGTATTTTGCCTAAAAAAAAAAAGTGATTACAATGACATATAAATTGGAAGATCGACAATTACTGTGGATTGCGGACAGAGGGAGTAGATGTTGATGGTCATATATAGCTTTTGTTTTTCGTAAGAATTGCAAAAACTGAAAACTTCTTCCAATGGAGTTTGGTTGAAAAATTTTCCGGAAATTATTTAACTTATTTGGTAACAGACGCCACAATCTCTTCTTTTGGAAGTCCTGTTATATAATGTTAAAAGTGTGATGCTTGACCACTAAACGTCAATTGTATCTCATAGACAAGGAGTATACTTCCCGTAAGAGTTAATAACCAAAACATTCATGCGTGGATATCTCAAGTCAAGATTAGTAATTCTATTCCGCAAGTCAAGCTCTGCAATGGCCCCTTCTACATTCTTAACGTTCAAATGTACAACATCAAAATCATGCCTGGATCAAGGGGCATGTAGTTGAAATCCCTTTTTCTAGCACACCTACAAATATCAGGAGCTCTTTACCAAAATCCAAAATCGTTGTTACATTTCTGTACAAGAGCAGCCACAATTTACCCATTTTGAAATAATTTTAATTGTTTGAGGCAGTTCCGCTGAGATTCCACATCCACAACCCCTGATCTGCATTGTTGCAACAAGTAAACAGTTACTAATGATGGAATATCCAGAAAACTGAATCCTGCTTCCATAATGCACATCACAATGTTTTTCTCTTGACTCATCTAGCCTTGTCGATTCAGACTAAATATACAGGCAAGACATTTGAATAGACATTTTTCAGTGAAACCGAACAATGCAGAAAATATACAGTAAAATGATATAGTGGGCTTCTTGTCGAAAGTGATAAGTAACTGCAGTAGCCCTCTTGACTTGCAGTGAAGCAGTTGGTTTTGCATGGTAAATTACCAATATCTATCAGGAGGCGAGCAATTCTCATCCAGCAAGATAGATCATGTCATGATCTGGTAGTTGTTTGAGTGCTTAATAAACCATATTTCTTTTCAGACATTTGTGACAGCGATCAACACTTTTGTACAAAAAATAGAAGGGGAAGAGTTAAAATTTGATTTTGAAAAGTTACGAGATGGAAGTCCCCACTTGCTCCTCTCTAAAGCTGACCTGACTGATTGTTGAGCGGATGGGAGTATCTAAGGTGAATGGTGACTTGGTAAGCGAGAACATATTCTGATACCAAATCATAAACCAGTGAAACAGATATAAGTCAAAAAGAAAATGGATGCAAAACCTACCACTCTGAACTTGAAAGGCGGCATACTAAGTGCTGTCACACAAGAGAGCCCAGAACACCTGTAAATTAAGAAAACATTATCATGATTTACTTCATTGAGAACAATCAAAAAGTGGAACAATAACATAAAGACAAGATTGTATGATTTGAAGCCATGAGTGCAAGAGTATTTTGATTCTCCCCCTATCAATGCTAAGCTAAGTTCATCGTAACTCCTCTAATACACTGAGTTTTCTCCCTATATTTATAGAAATTAGCTTATGTGCTTAGGATTTTGTTCTTCCGTGTTATGGTATTTTCTTCCGTTGTTATATAAAACACAGCTGTATTTCCACCAAAGAGCAAATAGTAGTTTTCCTAAACCAGATGAAGTTTACTCAGTTTTTTAACATATAATGATCAATGTTTTAGCTCCAAATGAGGCAATAATTTTACTTCACACTCATTTGTGCATATACAGTCAAATAGTATTTCCAGAAAGCTATAATTACTACAAACTGTGACATTCACATACCTAAGAAAGTTCAGCTACGTATTAGGAAAATCTTTGAACAGACATTATAAAATGGCATTTCAAAAATTTGACTGAGTGCTACGCCATGCTTCATTAAGCACAATTCAGTCACCTTGTTAATGCCTAACTGGATAACCAGAAACAACCTACTTAATTCCATCAAATGTATGCAGCTTCAGTTGAAACACTAGAAGCGTGCCAACGTCGACCAGCTTAAGATTTTCATGCAATAATTATAAGGAAAATGAAGAAAACAAGTTTCAGTAAGCTTCTGATATTGTATGATTCAACCAGAGGAAAAGGAAATCTTTAACTTGCAAAGCACGAGGATTTGGCTCATAATAATTAACGACAGACATAAATTGGACTTTGGTGCATTTAGCTAATGAAATTTCCAGAGCATTTTGAATAACAATATAGTTTTGTATATAGGCAACTGCTGCAAGCAAGAACCTTGATCTCTCTCTTTCTTGCTTATTTATTCAATTTCTTCAGCAAGTTATCATGCTTTTTTCTGGGTGCGCACTATCATTTCATATAGACAGTTCTCATAAGTAACATGGAACAAGAAGAGTTAAACACAGAAGAAATAATAAGAATTGACAACCAATAAGCTCGTACAGCCATAGCACTGACTCTAAAATATGTTAACCTTCATACAAGATAAACCACCTGATTATTTCTTCAAGTAATATGCAAATCCTCCATCCTAACATGTCATTTCTTTTCCCCATCCTTCTGCGACAGTTTAGTCATCAAAACTTAATTGGATTATTCCAAATTAAATGGACCATGCCTTGAACCACCCAGTGTCTTTAAGTTCAATGTTCCTATAAGAATTGTATGCTAAAGTATTGCAGTAAAGAGCTGTGATCTTCATTTTCTTTCAGGCAGTTTAACAGCAAAAGAAAAACTAATCTTCAGATATATCTAATGGAGGCAAAAGCAAGAGAAATTTGAACGTACAACAAAATGTAGTACCTTCAAAAGTAAAAATACCTAACAACTTTATATGCAAGTCATTATCTCACTCAAATAAACACTAGGTCAGCAATAAAAAGACATATACTTGGTTTAGACGCCCTAGGATATTGAAAGAAGAACATTCAAAAGATATCCAAGATAACAAAATTTATGAAGAAGTTCATACTCTCAATAATGCCGATGCATCAAAATTTCGCATGCCCCAGGATACGAGAGTACCTTGAAATATAATAATCAAGAAGAACAGAACAGTGATCACAGTTGCTAATATATTCATCTTCGAAGGTGATGCGCTCTCCTTTTTAATTTTCTTCAATGCCTTAATTCTTTCAGTCCTTCTACGCTTCCATATAGCAATCTCAGATATTTCCTTGACGAACTTAATGTCAGCAGCATTTAGTGATGGACCCTTTGGGGGTCTAGGTGGTTTAGGAGGCTTTGGCTTCCTTGTCCTCTCAATATCCATTTTATTGTCCCTCGTATTTTCCATCTCCTCTGAGACTTTGTTCGACCAAATTTCTGTACACCTAATGGAAAGCTCATCAGCACTTAACACCTTCTTATAAGTATTTGAACCGTCTTGCTTCCTGGCAAATCCATGTGACGATTGAACTCCACAAAACCCACTCACCGCTTTATACAACTCTTTATTAGAAGCTTCCTCAGTCAGATAACGGTTATTGCTGCCATCTTCCTCACTAGTTGTTCCCCCACTCTCTAGATCTATCTCTAAATCACTTTCCCTTGACTGTATATGATCCATAGCTAACCGAAGATTTCTTTGTCTACCTATCTCCTAGTCCTTTAGCTGAAAGCAAAAGCATAAGTTAGGCACAAACTCACTGGAAAGCTAAGCCATTGTACTGAATTTGTTCTTGCTTCCAAATCTTGGAAATATGGACATCACAAAAAAAAAAAAAAAAAAAAAAAAAAAANCTAGTCCTTTAGCTGAAAGCAAAAGCACAAGTTAGGTACAAACTCACTGGAAAGCTAAGCCATTGTACGGAATTTGTTCTTGCTTCCAAATCTTGGAAATATGGACATCACATAAAAAAATACATGCAACCATCCAACTAAAGAAAAGGAAACACTAATCTGGGTTTTTAATAAAATAAAAGACATGTACACAAAACACCAAAACATTCAAATGAACACTTCCCTTTTTGCCATTTTAAAAATATTTACTTGAGCCAAAAAAGCTATCCAAATTTTAGGCCAATAAACAACATTATCCAATAACCTGAAAAAGATACCGACTTTTTCTCATGTTCCAAAAACTTCAAATGGATTTGAAATGCCAACTCAATCTTGTGCTTCTTTAAGAATACAATATACAAATAATTATACACACAGTCACACACAGGAAAAAGTACATACATATACAAGGCTCAATCACATGGAAGATTCGTTTCAGCAACACAGAAAACAGACATGGAAAATGACAAGAGAAAGGAGCTTTAGCAAAACCCCAAAGAGGATGAAAATCAACAGTGGTCCCTTTGCAGCTGGAATATGAATATAAAATTTATATTTAAAGCATTTACACAAGCTAGAGTTTAAATACACTCATTTCTTTGTTATCAAACAAAAAGGAATGAAAATTGGACATCAATTCCCATTTTGAAATTTTTCTAATCCGAATAATCCAAAAAAATTATCCATTCTCCCCCAAAAAATAAATTTTGCAGTACACTAAAAACCCCAAACAGAAATAGAAAAGGAATCCGCAAAGGGGGAAAACATTAAGAGGAAAAAAGTATGAGAAAAACCGTATAGAATTATATGATTAGCAGATCAAAGCCTAAACATTATAAACGCAAAAAAAGATGCACTCTTGAAAAAAAAATGATGCTTTAAATAGTAGTATTAATTATGAAATAAATAAAAGAGGATTTTATACATACATTGAAGGCGACAACATGGGGAGGATTTGGCCTTAGAAATGGATTTCATCAATGGCTTCTCTGAACTGCGGCAGGGCGTGGAGGAGGAGGCAAGGAGGTGAAGAAGAAAACGAGGTCGTTTAAGGAGACAAACGTGTCCTTAGGAGATGTTGTAATGGTCAAAGGATGATTGGAAGTTTGGAACATTCCCAACACAAACACTTGAAGATAATGTTCAAAAGCAATTGCGCATTATCTACGTGCGGTTTGTGGGGTCCGTGTGCCGGTCTTATATTTGTCTTTTAGTCGAATTTTAAAATTTGCGTACAATTTTCCAATTTTTATATCACATTTTGAAACGAAAAGAGATAAACTCCGTAGGCTCACTTTTATTTGTCCATTATAAATTTTGTACGCTCTTAAAAAATAATAAATAAGTACATAATTTACCATGTCATTCATATTAATTGATACATATATTTAATAGATTTAAAAAAAATTAAAATAAGTAATCAATATTGTGATATAACAGGAAAAAAGAAATAGTCTCTCTTGATATGCTAAAACAACAACAACAATGTATGAGTCAAAATCTGATCAAAGAAATTCTACTTAAGGAAGAACGACCAAGAAGCAACTAAGCCGAAGTCACGTATAGGAAGCAATATATCGGCGAGTGATTTAGCTACGATCGAGGTCGAACACTCAATTCGGCCTGAACAGCTAGTTCAACACTTAGACATTTTAGAGGAATATTCTACGAGATATTCCAAGAATATAGGTACTCCGGCTAAGGACTGCTGGGTAAAGAAAGTGTTTTGTATAAATATCATGGGAGAGAGTAACAGAAAGGGGGCTGAGAGGAACATATAGAGGGAAAAACATGATCTCTATGAAGGAGAAGATATTCCCTGATTTCTGGCTCCTCGCCGGAAAAGGAGAAGAGTTTAAAATCTCGATATTCATCTGTAATTCAACTTTATCAAACATACGGAGGTCGGTCTTGTTCAAGGATGGTGAATCTTTTCATTTATGTATTCTTTATCTTCATTTGATATTATTAGAACACTAATCTTTTTCTCCCATGAAACTCAATCACCACTGTAATCAAATTTTATGTTCAGTTATACTTGTTTATTCCTATTTTCTATCTCAAATTTAGAGTAAATTATCTCTGGCTAGGATTTGCCCCAAATCTTCTTATTTAATTGGTTTAAAAAAAGGCCTAATACGTTTTAGTCAAACAATTTGACATCGTCTGTGGGGATTTTCTAGCCAAAGTTTTAGTTTCCTCTAGATCTAAACTCGGTTCTAGTTCTACTTCCCGATCGCTGTAACTTCATCCTCTTGCCTGTGTGCTCATGGTGCAGACTATGTTTCCATGCCTTCACGCACTCGGGACTGGATCAGATAGGGACTTGAATTGGAAGATCACAACGAGTGAAGTAAATCATCAACCCACAAGGTGCTCAGATTCAACTGACGCTGAAGCTAAGAACGAGGCTGAGATCAGATCTAAAGCTAGCACTCTCAGTTCGTTGCCAATCAGATCGAAGAGACTTTCCAGACCCAAGTAGTAGAGACAGCAAAAACACAAAGCCAAGGACCCATAAGATGCCATCCAAGTTCGGTGGATACTAGCCCAACCAATGATAGCAACTACGAAGCATAGCCAAAGAAGGGAACATGGTCGCTCCCTTCCACCGTCAACTAATCAGTCGAGGTAACATGCAATTTTGTTTGGCTTTAACCTTCTATTTCTTGTCAGGGTAAGACAGGAATAGGGGCTCCCCCACCGACACACGAACAGGGAACAAACGCCATCAAAATAGCACACCAAGAAAACACTCCGCGTCCTATCATCCCGCAAGCAACGGTCAAGCGAAACCCTCCGACAAGTTGGTACTCAACGCCATAAAGGAAAAGCCGGTATAGAGTGGGACCGAGTCATCAGGCCGGAAAATATACGAATCTCTCCAACATGCAGACAGAACACAAGTGCATGAAACTCACCCACACACTCACCAAAGTCACAATGCGATGACACAACTAGCCAAAATTCAATTTTTTACATATATTGAGACACCCGAAGTTTGAGCGAGACATTCATCGCCTGGCCTACCAACAACCTCTCCAGGACAATCGATGAACTAGATAAACTAGGACTCCTAGAATGTATGTACGAACCGAACAAAAATATGTAATACTCTCCAATGAATAAATGAAGCGGTCTATGACATTCTTACACAACTCCACCAAAATTACACATCATGCCAATGCAAAGGAAAGGTACATTCGATCTCGCTCGAATTAACTTACATTCGACCTCGCTCGAATCATTCTACATTCGACCTCGTCCGAATCAATCTAAATTCGACCTCACTCGAATTAACTTATATTCGACCTCACTCGAATCATTATACATTCGACCTCGTTCAAATCATTCTACATTCGACCTCGCTCGAATCATTCTACATTCGACCTCATTCGAATCATTCTACACTCGACCTCGCTCGAATTAACTTACATTAGACCTCGCTCGATTCATTCTACATTCGACCTCGCTCGAATTAACTTACATTTGACCTCGTTCGAATCATTCTATATTCAACCTCGCTCGAATTAACTTACATTCGACTTTGCTCGAATCATTCTACATTAGACCTCGTTCGAATCAATCTAAAGTCGACCTTGCTCGAATTAACAAGTCAAAATTTGACCTCGCTCGAATTAACAAGTCTAAATTCGACCTCGCTCGAATTAACAAAGCCTGAATTCGACATCGCTCGAATTAACAAAGCCTAAATTCGACCATGCTCGAATTAGCGAGACATATTCGACCCCGCTCGAATTAGTAAGTGTAACACCCCGTAAGTTTAACAACCTTGATACTGCAATATACATTTGATATGATATTTTGAGTGGAATATTTTTGTAAAAAGTTTGAAAAAAATATGATTTTATATAGTTATCACTATTACTACTTTCGAATATGTTTTAAATTATACACATATATAATATGAGGAAGTTTATGAGATTTTCTTTATTGTAAAGAGTTTCTCACAAGAAAATAAGGTTATCTTTTACCATTTTATAAATTAAGCGTACAAATTTTTTTACTCTTTATATGAGAGTAGGAAAATTAGAAGTTGAGAAAATATATGTATCTTTACATGAATATTTTAATGAAATAATAATGTATGTATTTTTTTTATATGATACCACATGAACATGATAGTAATGTATATATAAAGTGTACTAAAAGTGAATAATATATCAAGTAATTTGAAATAATTCTTAATTATGCGGGTAATTAGTTAATTATCGGGTAACGAGTTATTACCTAGTTAATTAATAATTAAGGGATAAGATTAAATACCTCACCCCCACGTGGAAGCCCCCTTTTAATTCAAAAGTGACTCATTAGTCATTTATTACATGTGTCACACTAAGAATTGGTTTTACAATTTAATACCCTTAATTAATGTTATGAACTATCTCCTTCTTACTCTTGCATAAGAACAGTGGAAAAAGCCTACAATGGAGATACCATATTACAGTTTAAAAATTGCAGTCTCATCATTTCTAGTTATCTTTGTATTAAAACAGGCATGAAAAATCTTTAATTGAGTTTGGTTCAAACCAAAAGAATTAGAGAAATGCCTTAGACAACAAGGTTTCAAAGAAAACTCTTATAGATTCTTGTTTGGAGATGTATATGTAAAGAAACTTTGTCTAAGCCTATTGATTTCTCCCATGAATTTGGCCTAGAGTCATGCCCTTCTTCCACAAAACCATCACCCCATATGGTAAGAATTGTTTGGCGTGGTATGGGCCAAGACCAACAATTGTTATCGTAGACCCTAAACTTATAAGAGAGGTGCTAACGAAAAATTACATTTTTTAAAAGCCACCTGGCACTCCATTTATTAATTATGAAGCAGATAAATGGACGAAACATAGAAGACCTATTAATCCTGCTGTTCACCTTGACAAATTGAAGCATATGCTACCTGCATTCCAATTGACTGCGTGAAATGTTGAGCAAAATGGGAGAAATTTTTCTCGACAGAAGGAACAAAGATAGATGTGCGTCCATATCTACAAACTTTGACAAGTGATGTCATTTCAAGAACTGCTTTTGGCAGTAGTTATCAAGAAGGAAGAAAGATTTTTGAACTTCAAAAGGAGCAAGTGGAATTACTTTTACAAATAGCACGCTCATTATACATCCCCGAATGGAGTAATTAAAACATTTCCTCCATTTTTAAGGAGATTGTCCATGGATACAAGTAGAAATTTGGCGACAAAGGTATGTTAAGGCTAATCCTTCCTTCTTTTGGCATGATCTAGGCAACGATACGTAAACGTAATGTTATTTCATAAGTGTTTCTACTCTTAGCAGTTAAGGATGTCTATGTTATTTATTCCTGTAAAATGATATTAATTAGAGGTATATTGACATTTTGACATTCCGAGAAGTTTTATTAATGTACTTCTCATGCATTGCACTCATTTGCATGTGCATTTACCCATGACTCAGATGACATTATATACGCGTATATATATATATATATATATATAGAATATGGGAAAATGTTACGGTATTATATACATACCACCACCTGATCAACTAGTATACATTGATGATTTTGCCCACAGTGGCACCAGATGGCGTTATATACGCGTATATATGTAAATATATGTATATGGGATATGGAAAAAAGGTTACGAAGTTATATACGCACTACCACCTGATCAGCTGGTATATGATGATGATGTTGCCCACAATGGCTGAAATGATATGATGGGACGCCCTCAGAGGCTTGATGATGTTATGTACATACAAACCTATGCATTACATGACATTTATATGCATATGCATGACATTATAAATACTTCATAATTTACAGAGCTATCCATACTTACAGGTTGAGCCCTTTACTCTATGTTTTTAATTAATGTTGACTTACTGTTATGTTTCAGTTCTGCCTTACATACTCAGTACATTATTCGTACTGACATCCTTTTGTTGGGGATGTTGCATTCATACCTACAGGTATAGGTAATCAGTTTGACGAGCCCTCATAGTAGACGAGATTGGCTTCAATGAAGAATCGGTAAGACTCCACCTCATCCGGAGTGTAGCCGAGTCTATGTGTCACTATGTCAGAAGTTTTCTATAGACTTATAGATAGGCCAATACCCTGTCCTATTTTATGTCAAATA